TAGAGACTTAGTTGCAGTCAGAATTAGATATAAGAAGGAAGGCAGTGACAGGGACTTGGTTGTCTGTTCGGCTTACCTTCCTTACGATTCAAGAGACCCTCCTCCGTCTAAGGAAATGGGGGACCTTGTCGCATTCTGTAGGGATTCTGGACTCGACCTTGTGATTGGATGCGACAGTAATGCCCATCACGTTGCGTGGGGCAGCTCGAACACCAACAGACGAGGCGAAGACCTGATGGAGTTTCTTGGGGCATCGAACCTTGAGGTTCTGAATGTCGGTAACATGCCCACTTTCAGCAATAGTGTAAGAGAAGAGGTTATCGACGTAACACTGAGCACGCTTAACTTAGCTCAGGACATCAGGGACTGGAAAGTGTCTCTAACACCCTCTCTATCGGATCACAGGTATATACTGTTCAAGACTGATGGAGAGATTCCGGATAAATATGCTCGGAATCCCAGGCATACTAGATGGGGGTCCTTTAGGGCAGACATTGACAGTAAGCTTGGAGCGGTCCCATACAGGCTTGGCAGGGGCTCTGACATAGAAGCAGCTGTCGAGTCTCTGAGCAGGGACTTGACGGCCGCATATGAGGAAAACTGCCCGTTACGCAAAGTACAAGGTAAGGGCAAGGCAACCTTCTGGACCAAAGATTTAGAGGATAGAAAACGAGCGGTGCACAAACTTCTTAGCAGAGTTAAGCACAGGAGAGGTTCTCCTCTATGGGAAGAATACAAAAAGGCATTGCAGGAGTACAAAAAGGAGATTAGAAGGGCCTCCAGAGAATCCTGGAGGCACTTCTGTCAGTCCATAAATGACATTCCTGCTACTGCAAGAATACACAGAGTCCTATGCAAAGACACTAAAGCAAGATTGGGATCTCTGCATGATCCCTCGGGAGGGAACACTACTTCCGAGGAAGATACTCTGAGGCTTCTGATGGATACGCACTTTCCCGGTTCCACAGTAGCGCGATCAATCACAGAGTGCATGCAGTTGCGCAGGCCCTCAAGGGAGGACTGGCGCACGGCAAGGGAGATTGTCACCTTCGAAAGGACGGTATGGGCAGTAGATTCGTTTGCCCCATACAAAAGTCCAGGTCTGGACGGCGTATTTCCGGCCATGTTACAGCAGGGACGGATTTCGGTTGTTCCTTACCTGTTGAATGTGTTTCGAGCATGTGTGGCCACGGGCTTCACACCTAGAAGTTGGCGGCAGGCTAAAGTGGTATTCATTCCTAAACCGGGCAGAGATAGATATACTGGCCCGAAGGATTTTCGACCGATTACTCTTTCATCTTTTGTGCTTAAGACCCTGGAAAGGATAGTTGATAGATACCTAAGGGATGGCCCACTGGAAAGGTGTGTCATTCATGCAAATCAGTTTGCATACCAAGCTGGAAAATCGACTGATCTGGCCTTACACAATCTGGTTGGGAGGCTGGAGAAGACTCTAGATCAGCGAGAAGTGGCACTCGTGGCCTTCTTAGATATTGAAGGTGCATTTAATTGCACCACAACCGACTCTATCAGACAGGCCTTGGTTAGACACGGGGTTGGATCAATCCTAATAGATTGGGTCCTCTCTACTCTGGAGGGTCGGGTAACAACAGCTATGCTGAATAACGTAAGCTGCAGCGTGAACGTAGCTAGAGGCTGCCCTCAGGGTGGAGTTCTGTCACCCCTACTGTGGTGTATCGTGGTGAACGAACTGCTCGTTAGGCTCAACAGTATGGGTGTCTACGTGCAAGCCTATGCTGATGACGTAAGCATAGTGGTTAGGGGGCGTTTCTGTAGAACAGTCTCGGAAATTATGCAGGGCGCTCTGCGCTCCGTGGAATCGTGGTGTAGGGAAGTCGATCTTTCTGTTAATGCTGAAAAGACCGAGCTGATCCTATTCACTAGGAGAAGAAGGCTTGACGGACTGGTCATGCCTACCTTCTTTGGGACTAGATTAGTTCTGTCCCAGTCAGTGAAATATCTGGGAATTATCCTGGACTGCAAACTGAACTGGAGAGAGCATGTGGAACACAAGGTTAGCAAGGCTCGCAATTCGATGTGGGCTTGTAGACGTGTTGTCGGTGTAAGGTGGGGGCTTAAACCCAAAGTGGTATACTGGCTCTACACGACGATAGTACGTCCATCTCTCTTGTACGGCTCCCTGGTCTGGTGGCCTTGCATTAGAACTGAGTCAACTAAGGCCAAACTCAATAAAATTCAGCGTTTGGCCTGTATTAGCATTACAAGCGCAGTGCGAACAACGCCATTGAGTGCAATGGAAGCTCTGTTGGATCTCCCACCGTTGGATCTGGTGATCCGCGGTGAAGCGAGAGTAGTCGCTCATCGACTGTGGAGTCAGGGCAGCTGGGCTTTCTTGAATCCGGTCAAGGGGCATACTGCCATATTAGTCGAATTAGATAGGGAGGACCCCGTCCTTCTAAGCAGGGGTGATCGTATTACCCCTAAATATCGCTTCAACCGCAAGTTCATTGTGGAGTACCCAACGAGGGAGGAGTGGGACGCCGGTAGCCGAGGACTCTCCGAAGTGAGCGGGCAGGTCTGGTACACGGACGGCTCGGTCACCGAAGAGGGCTCAGGTGCTGGGGTCTCTGGACCTAGAACTAGGCTATCTCTGCCTCTCGGTGAGTACACCACCATTTTCCAGGCGGAAATCTTTGCGATTCTGGCTTGTGTATCTCACATTCTGGAGGAGGGTGGGCCTAGGAGAAGAATAACAATCTTATCCGACAGCCAGGCTGCAATGAAAGCACTAAGTGCATGTAAGATTACTTCGAGTCTTGTATTGCAATGCAGGGAGGCTCTGGATTGCCTCGCAGCGAGGCATCCGGTATCGTTAATATGGGTACCGGGGCACGCTGGGATAAGGGGCAATGAGACGGCGGACACTCTGGCGAAAACAGGATCAGCCAGCAAGCTCGTTGGTCCTGAGCCAGCTCTAGGAGTAACCGCGCATAAAGCTAGGAGGAAAATGGAGACGTGGGTTGCAAGACAACACTCTCAGAAATGGAGAAGTATCTCTAGACATCTCCGCCAGGCACGAGAGCTCATTGAAGGGCCCAGTGCTAAGGATGGACGCTTCTGCCTATCTCTGGGTAGAGCCAACCTAAGGTTGCTGGTGGGACTGTTGTCTGGCCATAACACGTTAAGGCGGCACCTGCACGTGATGGGGGTGGCTGAGGATCCCTTATGTGAACGCTGCGGAGTAGAGGAAGAGACCTCGGCGCACGTTTTGTGTCGCTGTGAAGCTCTGAGCTACTATAGGCAGACTATACTGGGGTCTATTACTTTGGACCCTCAGGACGTAAAGGAGCTTGGACTCAAGGCGATTCTCAACTTCGCTAAAAGGGCGAGGCTTGTGATTTAAGTATTGTAGAGGTGCATAAGGGCCCGCTTAAGCGGCCTATGCACTGGCTCCTTATGGTGGCCGGGATGCCTCTAAAATTCAAGATTCATTCAATCAATCAAAGTCCTAACGATTTCTTTACATTCCCGAAAATTAGAAACAGACTGCGTGGTCAAAGGTTCCAGTCACCAGAAGAAGCAGTTGACGCATTCAAAAATGCCGTTTTGGATCTGCCAGCAAACGAGTGGAATAAGTGCTTGGAAAATTGGTTCGAGCGCATGTAGATGTGTATTAATCTTCGTGGAGAATACTTCGAAAAACAATAAAGTCATTTAAAACTACCTACCGTGTTGTTTTATTACCATATGCAAAACTTAAAAGACATCCCTCGTATCCTGTAGGACATGCTCTTTCCAGGAAACAAGCGAGCACTTATATTACAATATATGGCAAAAGTGATGGTATTGCGTATCTTGAAAAGTGGCATTATGGCGGTTTTTTGATATTACATGTTTTTCTACAAGATGTGAACTTGGAACTAACTGTTGTTCACTTGATGTGTACTCGTTCTGTAGCTGTACGTGTTGCCTAAACATCATGACACTTCAGCTATCAATTTTTGGCTCTGATGTGATGTAGCATCAGCTGCACAGATGTCATTACTGGAGGTCTAAGCTGTATGTTGTATACTATCGCTGGAAGGAAACGGCAGTGCTTAGGTGAGCATTTGTGCGCTAATAATCTGTGATGATTTCCCCTAATGTCTTGTCTCAAATACACTTACTTGAGATGAATGGTTCATCCTGGAAAGTACATACGCAAATTTGCATAGAAATTTATTTTGCGACGTGAAGTGAAAAATACAAATCAGCGTCTAGATGTGAGGCACTGCGAACATGTTTTGTATGTGATGTGTCATTCCTAATTTTTCTGTAATGTGGCTTAGTTACACACAACGAGGGCGCGGTGGTTATTTCCCGTAATGATTCTCAAAGTTTTTGAAAACGCAAAAAGCCGGGGAAATTGTAATTTATAACTTTGAACATAACCTCCCTTCGGAAAGGACAACACAAATGACCCGTCTGGTACAGCTAATGGATATACTTCACGGGCAGCAGATTCAGTAATAATTTTCTCACATTGCAAATATCACTAATTTTATACACATGGAGACCAATACACATCATCACCGTACAATCATCCAGATGCGATCTTGCTACTCAACCAATTTTCTTTCTGTCACATTTTCTCGGAGATATACTCTACAGTCTATCTCGACATTGTGCAACCAACAAAGCATGTTAGGAAACTGACTTGAAGCATGGTCACTGAGCAAGTCGTGTCGTTGAGTCATTCCTCCATAGATGATGCTTTTGGTGACACTCACAGCGTTCATAGCTAGCAAACTCGGAATGTTCAATTTGCACACCTCGAACTATCTAGTCAGCAAGTTGAAATTTTGTCGGTTTTTGAAATTACATAGGTTTTTTACGTAATAACCCTGTGGAAGACCAGTAGGCTGAAAAAAGTTAAAGTGGTTTAGTCATTCTCATCTTGTCTGTCTTCTCTTGGCACAACTACTGTTTCACTCTACCACATTGCTTCATAAAAGAGTTATGGCGTGCTGCTAACTCACCGTATCCGGCTGGTGAAGTATCTGCGGTGTACCACCGCCCCCACAGGCGCCATCTGTCGGTGGTGTATCTGTGGCGGCGGTGACAGTCTCGGCTACGCCGTTGACCATTGGATGCTGTTGATGCTGTTCGGTGGGGTACTCTTCTTGGTGAACGTGGTAATGGTTGGGGTTGCTGGTTGTGGAGGGCAGAGCTGCACCGGTCGCCGCTGCTGTTTCGGGGCCTGTGCTGCTGCTGCCACCGTACACCGCACCCCCCGCGGGTAGTTTGGCAATGTCCCCATTCATGTAAGCGTAGCCTGAAGAAATAGAGGCAATAAGTGATTCGATTGCTGGGCAAACGCTGAAAATAAGACATTAAGCTAGAAAATTATTTTTCTAATGACAGTTTTTATATAAATTTCTTGTAATTAAATGAAATTTGGGGTCTAAATAAATACAGTTTCCTGTTATAAAGTTTCTGACGTTTCGGAAAAATGTATATTTTTTTTCCTCAGGGCTCTACAAAAAATGTTTAAACCACCAACTTTACATATACATTAACAATTTAAATAATAAAATTGGATAGATACTTATTTTGGTTAAGCACTATACAAAATAGCTATTTAAGCTCATCCTCAAGATATACACAAAAAAAATTTAACAAAGATAACATGATTTAGATATATCTTTAAAAAACGAATAAGTTGTTCTTCCTGTATTTAATTAACAGAAAATAAAGATATCATGTAGACTGCAACTTTATAACAGGAAACTGTGTTTCTTTAGATCCCAAATTCCAATTACAAGAAATTTATTACATAACTAGGTTGAGAAGTGGGCCATTATTTGTCAAGCCTTGCGTCTCAGGTTATAATGTGCGAGGTGAATAAACCATTTCACGAATGCTATAAATATCTAGTTGCCTGTTGTCAGACTGACAAGCTCAAATAATTAGACTTGGGACTTTAAACCAGTCCATTTACCATTTTAAAGGGCAGTAATGTTGCTAACGTTTTTGTGACCGTGTCATCCATCTTAGTAGCTTTAAAAGCAGTTTTCCAATATTATCCCAATTTTTTTGTTCAACAAGGACAGTGATACCAAACATCAACCTTTTCTCACTCGTACACAAATATTTAAAATATGAAGTTTAGTAGTCAAACGGACATAATGAAGTCAGCAGGATGATAATGACATTCAATACTTATCAAGGTATTTTTTCCTATCATTATTTACCTAGGTAGGGAGACCAAAGTTACTTCACTATAGGGCAGTGTGGTCCATAATGGCGAGTTATTGGGTTGAGAAAAAAGGAGTCAAGTAAGTTGGCTCTGAACTTCCCACGTTACGCTGTGGGCAGTTCGTAAAGAGTTATGTTTGGCACAAGTTAACCCTTCTGAGAAAAACGTATGAGAAAAAATTAAATAACCTTCCTCCTTCCCCTGAGAGAAATTGCTGTAGGCGCACATGATCATTGCGATGACCAATCCCGTGTAAATCACGATATTTGCCTTCACCATGAATAGTGCACGCAGCTTACAGCAGTGCGGAAGCGATTGTCGACTGTGACGTACGATCACCGATGACGACGCTTGTCCCTCGGGGTACCATGGCGCACGTATCGACACCCGACTGTAGCAGATATTTCAAGTTTTAAGCGTAAATGTACGGAGACATCTATGTTGACTGACGTATGTCTAATATGTCCGTAAAAGTACTGGAGTTGGAGGCGTATAAATATATCAATATTTCAAAAAAAAAATGAGAAATACCATCCCCCTACGCAACCCTTACTCCCAACTTCTACTGCAAAGCTATTGCATCCTTGGCATAGTACTAACATTGTGTGAAAATTTCATCGAAATCCGAGCGGTACTTCTGAAGTTAATAGGCGGTTATAAGGTTAGCGGACAGACCGACGGAAATGAGTGATATATAGTTTTTCGTAATGTACCGTAGGCGTGGGAAGTAAAACATATTTATATATCATTCATTCATAAAAATAGAAAATATGGCGTTAATAAGAACAAGTCTTAGCTTATTACACTAAAGTCTTCCTTTATTTCACTGCTATCGAGAAACAACAGTATGCCGCCTCCCAAAAATTATATAAAAAAGTCTTAAAATCTCATTTTCAAAAGTTCAGGATTCTGTAATAGCCGAGGCAATGAGCCTAAGCTCCACAAAAAAATCTAAACTTACGCCAATGTATGGGAGTGTGGCGACAACCTGCATGAAGTTATCTTTAATCGTATTAGCATCTATGAACGAGTAGTTTACCAGTCTATAAGAAATAAAAATGCATCATAAAATTATAACAAAATTTCGTAACTTTGAACCTAAGTAGCAGCATTGATTCCAATGAAACTGCAATAATCTGGCTGTAAGTACCCCAGGAATGCAGTAATTTCTAAATGAATAATTTATCAGCTCAAATTAACAACGTTTGATGCAAAAGTCCTTAGCACAAAACGTTAACGGTACTACCACTATACTGTATATAAAAACATTTCGCTAATGAGAGACATGCTGGATGTATGCATTGCCGTAAATCTTTACCGGTGTTTGTGAAATGGAATCAATTAATTTAGAATGGACGTCAAGTTGCCGTAGGTAAGGATTCGCCGATACTGCCGTCATTAATAATTAAATAGTGTTGGACATCAGTCGAGCGCAAAATAAATGAGGCGGTATTTTCACGTGTCCACGTTTTTACTTTTTGACGATATTTTACATGTGTAGATATGACGACACCTGATTTGAAACGTCTTGCTGACCAAAATCATATAGACAATGGAATTCTCAAAAAGTTTTCAGAAAACATCCGTTTTGTCAATCAGATCTTTCAAACAAGCAGTTTTTGACTATCATATTAAAATGCTGTTATCCAGACACATCAATGATATGATGTTGGCTAGCTTCCCTGACCTAGCCCACTAAAATCATGGTTCAGGGCATCCAATTCATTGTTGGAAAGAAAAGAAAATACAGGTATTTTGAACAGCTCCACACAAATATACATAACGAGTATCACTGTATGACATGTATACATATTGATTTAATCCATACACACGGAACATTCGATTTCTCTATAAATTATTTTGTGTCGAGTCCTCCAGTGTCAAGTGTCATCGTGTACCCGTACCCTGACACGTTGTATAACACATTGGACATTGAAACAACAATCTGATCTTGGGTTTTTGTGAACTCTCCAAAGGATCTGAGGCATTTGCAGCTTTGGCTCAAAAAACAGACTAGACTAGAATCGGAAAAACAAAAAAAAAAACATTCGGAAATGTATATCCACTCATATTCGACTTACTGGATACTTTAATTATGTCTTTATAATTTCATGAAATTTTACCTATGCGGTCGGTATCTATAATGCATTACCACTGAATGCTAAACATCTTGACTGCATCACTTACAACAAGTATATCAAATAAATAATTCTCCAAATGAAACCACATTATGTTGGATTATCCTTTTACTAACGTTTCTGATTTTTCAAATTACAAATCAAGATCAATGTTTGAAGTGACCAAAACGTAAACAGTCAAACCAACATTTATGTTGTTCAATTTTGCGACCAGAAAAACATAGAGATTTATCAGAATGAAAACCACAGCATACCTTCCAGATATTATTTTTTACCAATATGTGCTTGAATCCGATTCAACTTTCAATGCGTAAAATATATCTTCATATTTCTGTACAAACTATATATGATGTATATTGTACAATTGTACCCAGATCATTTATAACTCAATTTGTAGTTTTTATTTTTATTTTGGATGGATGATTTGTTAAGGTTACATATTTGCAATATTATTCTCGTTCAGGAGGTTAAGTAGCGGAATATCTTGTAGTTAAACTATGCCCAAAATAAAAAGTTGATTCAAATTATTTAATGTGTGAAATATCTGATAATAAATAACCTGGAGACAATGGGGTGTTTTCCCAACTTTTTATTTTGACGACCCATTTTGCCTCGAAATAGATAAACTTGATCTACAAAGTACAAACCTAAAATTACACGTTACGTAAAGCTGAAATGTAAGTTCTAGCGTGAAGTAAGACTTAATAAATTCTAACATAGGTTTTTACAAGACATGTTCTTAGAATATGAGCCTATTTTACTTAGGGAGATTAAGCTTCTGTTAGATATGAGGAAAATAGTTTTTATTCTCTGACATTGACAATTTGAATGAAATGTTTGGTCATGTTCTATCGCTATCATCCGGAACAGAACTTAAATTCTATTGAATGATTATTTCTGCGAAATATACAGAGGATATACATGTACGAATTTCAAATACGTGTTTTCCAAGACACCACCGTAAAAACGATGATCATCATCCTTGAAAAATGGATGTAACTAATCTATTTCAGCTGTTAAAAATGGATTTTTCTAGGTAGAAAATAACCCATTGCTCCAACAAAATGTCGGTGTTCTGTAGAATACGATCCCTTTTGTCTAAGGTACGTATTCCGAAATTCCCAGCGAGTTCTTCAGTGAAGTGCTAATGAAATTGAAAAGCATAAGTAAAGGAATTGTGAATATAGAATCAACCACTGAATGTATGACGATATCATGTGGTCGCTAAAAATAAACAATAAAAATTATTCATTAAAACTACTTTTATATTATGATAAAACATAGATTTGCTTCAAGTCCTTAACTATTTAGTTTCGTGTTCATACATTGGTGTGTCTTGCAAAACTCTCACATAAAACGAAAACTATTATGTTAAGAATTCGACAGAAAGCAAAAACAAAACTGATGAAACTGCACGTGAAGAACAGAGTTAAGCTACTTGACGACACTTTTTACAAGACTAATGTACCACTAGTTAGATACTGCCTGGCATCGATTTATTATTTCCAATCGTCATTGTTTTTATGAATGACTATTACGTCGATACACAAGCTGACAGGAATGTATATTTTCATAAATACCAATGCAGGCAGGTAGGTGGAAATATTGGGAGCATTCCTATTATATGAAAACGTAGATACTTAGATACTCGTATACCAGGAGAACCAATGTAAACTTGATTAATACATGTGTATATTTCTAGGAGATGGGATTCAGTCATCTAGACGATTTTTTATAATGAGTGAAAGTTGTAAACAAGGGTTGTGTTCACGTCGCAGCAGGGTTGCGGCAATTTAAATCAAATGATTTAAATTCATTGATTTTTTCAATCTTCATCATGATCTAAATCATATTACAAATTGCTGTAAAAACAAGTCGCTGAAGCAAATAACTGAAGTAACTCATCAGGGAATTCAAAAACAAGATGGTTTATTTATTTAAAACTAAGAGTTTACTTACATTATGTAAGTTTAAAAACATAACTAATTGTCATCACTCCAACATAAATATTATTCATAAATTAAACTTGAGATGAAAACACAATTTACTACAACAAAAACAGTTTATAGTTTATAATATTACCTCCATAAATAAAAATTAATAAAGAATATGGTATATGTATAGTGAACAAACACGTTACTTAGGCTTATGTACAAAAAAACGTAAACACAAAATATGTGTTTAGGAAGTAAATTGTAATACATATACAGATAAACTAATTTATAGGCTTTTTCGATTCCCAGGTTTTTTGTTTTTTATACTCCCAACTATCACGAAGGCCTGAAGCCTAAACACCCATTGGATACCATGGGGCTATAGGGGGATACAGGGGAAAGGGGGACAACGCCACACGGACTCTGGCGAGGGAACGCGTGTGCGTGCAACATGCACACATTTTGGCTCCGCCTACGAGATCCGCCGGGTGGTACCTCCGCGTTCGACAGTCAGAGACCATCTACCACCTACGGACAATCACAACATCCATAGCCAAGAAAAAAATTTCTCTTGGAACGGGATTCGAACCCGCACAGCGCACGGCGACTGATCAGGAGACCGAAGAGTCTACCACTGCGGCCACTGCTGCTGTCTAGTGTGATTTCGAGGTTTAGATTGTACCAAACCAAATGTCTAAAACCTTTTGACAGATGCTGAAGAAGCAGATAACAGTTGTTTCACAGTGGGCAGTACTTTTTGAATAGCATCTGTTGGGATTTTGAAGCTTTTGAAGTTCTGAGAATTTCTTTCCCAAAAATGTTGGTAAAAGGATTGACTAATTAATCAATTCCTGACAAGAACCCACTAGGAAGTAGTTCTTTTGTGGCTTTCAAAGCATGACTCTTTACATCCTCTGCTAATGTGGTTCTGTCAGATCAAGATGATTTGATAGATAATATGGAGTGATGCACAACATGTCAACACAAGTTTTTTTTGTCTCTTCTTTCTATAAATCTATGCTACAAATATTTTTGGCAAAAAATAATGAAAATATGTTATTTCAAAGTTCACCATTGCCATATTTAAGGAAAAAAATCAGTACAAATTGATATAAATAAGAAAAAATCACAATTTATCCTGAAAAAACTATATTTTTTGGTTGAAAAAAAAGATTTTTTGCAACATTGCTTTGCAGTACCGAACTGCTCTCTAAATCCCAAACTAATAACAAAGTGTTGACCAGGAAACTCTGGAGTAGTCCGGTACCAATCCGTACTGGGTTCGGAATACAACCAACATCTCCCAAAATATGGGGGAAAAACCGAGATACAAAACACAAAAATGACGTGACAAAGTCCTATACAAAACATTGTACACCATTCTCATAAACAGATATTCAACTCACCAGCATAGAGGATCTGGTAGCAGACTCCGCAAAGACACAAAAATAAACATTCAGCTTGACCTGTTATGTCAGTGGAGGCTGAGCTCTTATACAAACACAATAAGTGTCACACTTAGCATAACAATGGTTCAGTTGCTGCTATGGCTAGTGTGGCTTAGCCTAGTCTCTAGATGTTATCAGAGTGAACATCTTTGAAAATTTTTAAAATTAAAATTGACAGCAGTCTTTAAGAGTCTTCTATTCATCATTGTCTGTCAGAGAGGTCTGTGGGACCTTTGCTCTTGGTTAAAGTATCACAGGTCAGTAGGTCTGTCAGAACTGGTTACCCAGATACCAGATGGAGAAAGAAGGGAAGAAGAAAGAAAGGAAGGAGGAAGAGCAAAAAGTGCATCTGTTGGAGAGGTGCCTTGACATTGTTAACTACTATTCAGTAATTTTAAATTGATCTAAAAATTTAGAAATCTATATGTGTGGAAAAGCTGTAATTCAGGTTGGGCCTACAACTGCATGATTTTAATTTTATGTGAAACAGTATGTTAAAATGTGTTAGTTGTCAGCAGATTCTGTCAGAAGCAACTGAGACTGTGTAACTGAGCTAAGTCATACTTCAGATAACACTAACCAAACATAACCACACCTGGCACATGGTTATAGTTGCTATTAAGCAAGGATGAGGAAAGCTTCATAGATTTTGGATATCAGTCCAGATCAATACAATTTGGTTTCAGTTTAAACTAATGGTGGTTGCTCCATGGACTACATTTGTCATGAGAAATCATGTACTGGTAACACCTTGTATACAGAAACTCCACTACCCAAATTCTGTAAATTCACTAACTTACTGGAGAAAACTGTCAACATTTACTCAAAAATCATCCAAATAGTTAATACCTTGGGAGACATAAGAAGGTTTGGGAAGAGTGTATGAATGCAATGCAATTTGTTGATTTACACAAGTTGTGTGTCTTGTGCTCAGACCAAGCAATTACCCAGCTATGATATTCAATACTTGATGAACCAAAGTATGCTACATGACAAACAAATGTGGGAATGCAAAATGAGGGTTATGAATGATTTCTGTTTGTATATAAACTTGTATCCCTGATAAACATCCATACTTTAAGCAATCAGGGTCTGGAAACACACACTAGAACCTAGTAAATGAAAATGGAGTAATTACATAAAAAGAAATACTTTTTAGCAAGAAAAAATGATCAACTCAAAGATACAAAGAATGAAAACAAATGGTCATGAACAGAACTAATACAGTTAAAAAGAAAATAGCCGATTTTTATACACCTAGCTTATCACCACTATGATATAAAAGTCGAAGTCACAATAACATCAAGTACCAATACTGATATATCTGAATTGCTACTGATCTAAATGGTGTGCATAAGTTTGATGTAAACTAAAAAGATAATTGGAAAAATAATTGTGAGCAATTAGCGAACATAAAATCTTCATAATGCAGGTACTTTTAGCAATACCCTTGTATAAGCCAATTGAGCAAATAAAAATAAAATTGGAATATCACCCATTCTGTGTAAAAATCTATTCAAAGTAATGTTGATACTGATAAGAGTATCAAATTCAATACATGTGTGACATAAAATTTGGACTAATTCAGATTATTTTGTAAAGGCTCCCCACTACTTCTACTTAAAAAATAACAGTGACTAATGTGTAGGTTCCTTGAAAGTTATTAATTTTTATATAAGTAAAAAACAAAAAAATATATGTTCATATACTAAATCACATTTGAGAATGTCATGCTGATGTAAAACTGATTACCATCATCCAGACTATTTTATTGAATAAGAGATTGATAATGACGAGCTATGGTCTAAACTGATACACATTTGCCAAACAATAACATTGTGAAATATAATAGATGGTTATACAGGTCAAACCATTATAGTTTCTACAGACAAGCCAAAACAAAAACAGACTCTAATGACAAAATGCATAATTCCTCATATTTTGAAATTTATAAGATGCAATTCTTTGTGCAAGATGCAAGTGCAAGTAATAGTATCAGAAAACAATGATTTAGTAGGTTCTTTATCACTATCAGTACAGCTCTCAAATCTTAGCAATTTGTGATAGGTACATAGAGGCATCTTATTGATTTCATGTGTGCCCAATTTTGTATAAATTTCAGGAGCACAACGATTGTGCTATCAAAATTAAAATAACGACAGCAGAAAATGTGAGAAAGTGCAGTTTATAATATAAAAAAGTTGTACATACCATGCATGGTATTAAATATGGTGATTGTTGAAGGTTGAAGTGGAAGTAGAACCTAACCTTATTTTTTAAAAGCAATGGGTGTAATTTTGCTTCAAGGTCATTTACGGAATAAACTGTGGAAAAATTATACTTCCCTGTAGGGAAGCAGTTAAGATATATGTTGAAATTAAATATATCAACACGAATACTCTTGAAAATCAGTAAAGCAGGACTTGCTCCCGAAATTGTCAACAAATTTCACTAGTCACCAGTCGGAGCGTTGTGATATGACGGTTTGACGTATGAAAATTGTTTGACACCACTGACTGGATATTGCTCGATTATCGCAATGCTCCAAATAAAGAATAACCCGGAATTTTCCGTAAAGCAAACGAAAAACCAAATTTAAGGTGCATGATACTCAAAGTTCTAGCAGTGATTATAACACAAATGCACTGTGACAAATTTAGAAAACGAACTGAATAATCAGGATGCCAACAGCCGGGGGAAGGGAACTACTTAGACATTCCACAGTAGTTCACTGAAGAACTGCCAATAAATAAACGAATACACTATTTAATAGCTTACTTTTGCTACCTTCCCAATCCAGATCGAGGATTTGAATCACTACCGTCTGATAGAAAAACGAGTCTGCAGGCAATGCAACGATACCGATTATTAATGCGGCAGATGTTTAAAGCTTATACACGTAACGTTCGACACAATCGGCACTAACTTCAAAACTTGGTGTACGTCGCAATGTTATTTACACAATATAAAATAATTGTTGCTTACCGCTTTAATTACTTCTAAAATTCAACAAAATTTTCTCACGGAACTAGCAAAATGGCCGTCGCAGCGCAGGGGCACATGCCACAGAAACTTGTCTGCACAAAACACGGTGTCTGTGTATGAAAGAAAAGGATCGCGCGATTGACACGAGCCCGGCCACCTGTTAGTCGGTAGCTGAAGCTTCAACGCGAGGGAAATTCAAATCTGTTAATAAAGGACATTCGTTTCAATTAGCGACAACTTTCGTTTCAAACAGATTTGAAACTCTGCCAAGTTGAGAACAATCAACAAGAATGAATATAAAGCAGCAAATAATCTACTTACCGTCCAATAACAGGGGAGGATAAGAATATTCTGACGACTGAGGATGCAGAATCTGTTTCCGAGAATCTACCTCAGACATTTCACATATTTCATGATCCAACATGGAAGCTATACTAGATGAAGGAAGGACCTATAAATAAAAAAGATAAAATTAAAAATACTCCAGGCTGCAATAGCGGGAAAAATGGCGTCAAGCGTCAAGTAGATTGGCTCATCGGTTCGTAGGGTCCTCACTCATTCAGAGCCAGACCAATTCCATTAAATGCTGTTATAAACCATATGAATGAAACAGACTGAATTGAAAATGAATAAATATCAATCGGCGTCAATCCAAGTTTCAATATAGCACCTAATAAATAATGTAGAGGTAATTAACCGAAACGGATGTGAATTGTCCTTGCTCACAGAGGTTCCACCTATGTGGGATTATACAATTATTGCAGCAGCATCAAATAATCAGACTCTCACGTTTTTGTTCATTGTGAAAATATGTTTATAATCATTTCTGTGCATAGGCGTAGTTTATTTGAAAGTGTGAGATACTATACTGATATAAATAAACTGAAGGAGGAGAGACTAATTCCTTATAATATCGACAAGAACATTTCATTTGACTACTATCTTACGCGATTTGTGACGCATAGACGTTTTAATGATGCGGCCACCAATTCTGAGATTTTCATCAGGCGCTACGAGAGAGGGGCTAAAACTAAGTAATTACGTAAGAAACCTATATTATGTAAATAAAATCAAAAAAATTTCAACTTTCTACTTTCTGGGTGTATGATTTGTGCTAGATAGTACCTAGTGTGCAAATAGTTCATTCCGCGTTTGCTCATTATGAGCTCTGTCAGCATCTACGGAGGAATGACTCAACGACACGCTCAATGACCCTACTGCAAGCGGCAAGTCATTTTCCCAGCATGCCTTGTTGGTTGCAGGATGCCGAGATGTGTTAGAAAGTTCAAAATTGGTTGAGTAGCAAGATCGCATCTGGATGATTGTATGGTGATTGTGTGTATCTGTGATATTTGCTATGTGAGAAAATTATTACTGAATATGCTACCCGTGAAGTATATCTAGTACCTGCACCAGACGGGTTGTTTGTGTTGTCCTTACTTCTGAAAGGTTATGTTCAAAGTTATAAATTACAATTTTCTCCGATTTTTTGTGTTTTCAAAAGCTTTGAGAAGCACTACGGAAAATCACCGCAGTGCCCCCGTTGTATCTGATTAAGCCACATCACAGAAAAATTAGGAATGACGCATCACGCACAAAACATTTTCGCAGTGCCTCACATTTTGGCGCTGATTTGTATTTTCTACTTGATACCGCAAAATACATATCTATGAAATTTGAAGAAAAAATAATGTAAAATAAATCCTTTTCACCTCCAGCTCTCATTTTTGAAATATATCAAATTTGCATATGTAATTTCCAGGATGAAGCATATATCTCAAGTGTAGTAGAGATACGAAACTAAGGGAATTATCATCAGCAGAGGTTATTAGTTATACCTGTAATCTCACAAAGAAAATCTATAGTATGTCACAAAAACCCGATACAATGTCATTTTTCACGACACGTAAAATACCTCCGCTTCTCTAAGAGCTTATATATTAGCCTGGATTGTTGAAAAAACGCTTAGTAATGAAGTTATTCTTATGATACGTTTGTCTTCAATACGTATTAATTTTGACTTAGTTTGTTTTTCAAAATATATGGGGAATAATCGTGTACCTATACTTGTTCTGTAGGTGAAACCTCTGGGCAGCGATTTTCCTTTTCGCGTTTTTTTTTTTGTCAACCTAGAGAGAGGTTAGAATTTTGTTTCTACGATAAACAGGAGTGAATCAAAGTTATAAGAAAAATCGGTGTTGGGTTTTACTTCATAGGTTACACATCGACGCTCGAAATGGGAGGGGATGATTTAGCACGGTTTCGTGTGCAATATTGGGGATCGATAGGATTTTCCCTACCCCTGCCCCTCAAGCATTTTCTGGAGCTGATACATTGCTCTCACAAAAATTGACATCTTGCTGATGTCCTACCTCCCTGGGAAAAATTCTTGTGGGCTCTCACGAGGACGATATGGTGGAAGTTCCTTAAAAAGGGATGGCAATCCAAGATCGCATCCGACATTTGCGGAAAATGGTGAATGTGCTAACATATTTTGTAGCTCATAGGACTTTTTAAAAATGATGAAAGTACCATCCAGGAAATATCTTTGCAGAGGCAGGACGTCACTTAGTCACAGTGGTTGACTTAGAAAACTATTTAGGAGGGGTTGCGGTACAGTGGTGGATGCAGAACCCATGTTCAGGGAGATGTCAATCTCAGGGGAGTATCGGCGATTGAAAATTAAAGATCTGGGGGTTGGGGGAGTGTGGTCGTTTGCACGAGTGCTTAAGTCAGCGAATGCTCTTGTAACAAATGTAGATCAGTAAGGGTCAAAAATATATTAGCGTCCAATCTCGATCCGCCCAGGAGAGGGGGGCTCACATTTCACAAAAGGTGTAGGCTTGGGCCCCAAAGCCCTCCCATCAAAAACGAATTCGATGCACATTACATAGGGTCATGAAATGAGTACAAAAAGGTAGATGACGAAATTCTATCTGACAACATATATCCACAGGTATCGTCACCGGAAGGAAGAAATGTCTGGCTCCTTTTTGCTGCGTTGCCGCACGCTTAGCCCACCCTGTGTATGGATGAAAATTGATAATGCTGACGTTTGCATAAATCTAAGCGTTCCATCTATATTTAGACTTTAATCTAGAAAATCGTTACATGAGTAAAACCTTAAAGAAGTACCAGTAAACATAGGTATGATTAAGTGTACCTTAGTAAGGAAAATATAAATAGGGCGTGTACTGAAAGGAAACCGTTATAAAGTCCTTTAACTCAGGATAAACAACAAAATCTATGCTTACAGAGGAATTGGGAGGAGGCAAATGTCTTGGCTGGGGAACATTCGCCAATGTAATGACCAACGTCGAGGGGACCTGACTTAGCACCGAAGTAGAAAGATCATAGGCATTGGACTTTCCCTGCTACATGAGATCTCGGACTCTATAAAAAATGAACAAAACGGATTATTAACTCTTTTAGTGAATACCTATCGCGCATATGATACTGAAACAATTAGTCTCAGAAACATATACAAACAAACTTTAAGACATTTAGTTAGTAGATTGGATAAAATGGTTTATAGGATCTCACCTGATTCTCTTTCATGTTATCAACGGATTTTCGGAGTTACAACAAATAAATCTTATCCAATAATCATTTATGGTAAAGTGGAAGGCGCTATCTAACGTGCTAGACATAATCGATGATGACCGTTTTTGTGGCGGTGACAATTAATTGCATTTTTGACAATACCAACATATAGGGTGTTTTATTGTTGAATATCATTTTCCTATATTCAAAGATGTGCATGATTTTTGCGACATGCTAGCTTCTTTTTACCATACGTGATACCAATAATAATAATAATATTTATTCCAAATCTAAAATCACAAATATATATGTACAAATGACATACATGTAGAACTATCGTCATACCCATGCAAAAACTAAAACGAATCAGTGATGTATTCAGAAATACTGCATGGTTCCAGATGAGCTAAAATTCGTTTCAGGCTTTTTTGAAGATTGCTGTACCTTCCATCGCTTTCAAATGATTAGGTAGTTAATTATACAACTATTACATATTAAAATATTTTTTTTTTCAGTTAAGTCAGCCTATGCTGAGGTAGAAAAACATTCAGAGCTCTTGCACCATATGTGTGATCATTTTGCGTGCGAAAATTGTTTTTTTTCACTGTGAACATAACAAAACATATCAAAAATGTAAAGTGCATATATGTATATTCGTACTGTGACGTCCCCTTCCAATAATATCTAATCAGCTGCCCTGAACGATTCTTCATCTCTTCTCATTCCATGTAATGGTCTTATTTTTCTACGTCAAATAAGGCTTCACGATGCTTTAGCACTTTTCCAAACTCCAGTGGACAGATTACAGATTATTGATTACAGAAGTGAGGGGTTGGCTTGCCAGCCTTAACGTTACTGTGACCCAAGTGGACCTACTGGTGACCCTCTATATAACTTCTAAAGCACTGTGTCCAGCCTTGATCCTTTGATCAGACTCGATAGCCTTGACACAGAGCTTTGCATGTAGCTCTCAGCTGTTGGACCTGTGGTTCCTACTATTTGAAACCGTAGCCTTGCCAGGCCTTCACAGTGACACGCGAGATGCACTGGGGTTTCCTCATGCTCTCTGCAGAAATGGCATGTAGCCTCTTTCTGCTTCTGCCAGAGTCTCATATGTC